TTTTCACAACTATGCATACTTTTACTTGAAAAATGTCATACTTTAAAAAAATCATAAATAGAAGTATGATAAAGTATGTCATTCGATAACATAACTATGCATTTTATCCATATAATTTGGTGGGTCGATCCACTATAGAGCATGATGGGTCGACTCGTCTATCAATTAGGATGTCCTTCCACAAGAATTTATGTTTTATTTCATGTTTGTGGCAAATGAAACAAATTTCTAAAATGACGCAGTATAAGTGTATAACCATTAACCAGAGCCCAAATACTTAGGTGCGCCCTAGTACATTTAGCAAGGTGTATCAAGACATTTTTAAAATGAACATGTTACATAATAAAATGAACATGTGTAAACATGAGTGTGTCAGGGCGCACGATAGTAGCACGGTGACCAGAGTGCTAGAGGCAAGAGGAGTAGAGGACCCACATTCCGTAATATATGTGGACGAGCTAATTTTCTCAACGGCCATTTAAATTGAGGTTGTGGTTTAAGTTTTAACACAACCAGGTTAACAATGGCAGCCAACAAAGAGCTCTTACCAAACTACATCAAAATTCCCCCCAAGAACAAATACATCCATGGCCCTGGCTTTCGGAACCGCTTCTGCTGTTCTACACCCGACAACTTCAATATCGTCAAAGATTTGTAAGAAGAAAATTGGGTGGAATTCTCCATCTTGTCGGAAGGCGGCGGCGGCGGCGGCTCTCTCTGAAGGAACTGATAGTAGATTCACCGACCAGGATTCGCCTACTTACACTGGTATATTACTTTCCTGGTTTGTTTGAATTTAGATTTGAGGTTAAATGCTTCTCTTTATTGTTTGTCTTTATGGCATAGTGAATTAACCTAGGATATGAATGATGTTTTAACACTTCCAAACATTTTTGAATGGTTATACAATTACAGTGAGCTTAAAGTGTTTGGTGGCTGTTGTGTGATGTGTATTATTTAAGGGGGGAATTGATATTGTGTTGTTACTTTTTGATTGTTAGGAATATACAGTCAGTCCTCTTTGTCATGGACATATGTTATTTCAAGAAACTAGCAGTTAAAGAAGCTCCGAAACACGACCAGATCGTTACATAGTATTTGTGAAATTTTAGTATAAGTTAATGATTTCTACAAGTCCCCTGAAGTTTGCTGAAGTATAAGGAGATCTTAAGTTTGTTGGAAGTGCTTGTTATGTGTGAGGACCTTTTCTTCTCTTTGATCGAGTTGTACTAAATATAAAACGGGGAGGAATAAAAGATCCTACGGTTATTAGTATCCGAGTCTCGTTATGTCGAGTGTTTGCGTTGTTGTGTTCTAACCGCGTAACTGGTTAAAAAAAGGAGGATTTTGGAAGAAACACAATATAATAGAAAATAAGATACTGGAACTCTAAGTAGAGAGTAGACATATTCACAGGTCTAAAAGCCTAGTTGAAGAAGACATGAGCGTATCAGCGTAAAAAGAATATTTATTCATAATTATCTGCTGTTATATGGGCTCGCCCCAAATGTTAAATTGGTAACAATTTCTACATTTAACAATACATTTTGCCAGTCCTAATTTCATGTTCATCCCACAGCCATTTGGCTAATAAAGCCGTTAATCTGTTCCAATAAATCTTTTGCTGAGTTGGTGTTCCTTTACCGTGCTACAAGGATCCTCTTCTTCTGCTCGGATGCAACTAGATCTCTTGGAACAACTCACTGGTGCCGGTAGCTCGTCTGTTGATGGTATCTACTACCTTTTGCAAATTTACGAAAAGGACAAGTTATAGTTGGAAAAAAAAAAAGAAAAAATTATTTTGGGTCCAATTTTTAATTCCATTTATTTTTTTACCAGGTTATACGAGCGATGGTAACTCTGGTGGGGCAACAGTACGCGAACAACTTGCTAATTTGGTCGGGGACTGTGATGACGATTTCAGCCTTCCATTAGGTAAAAACCTAAAGAAGGTGACTGCTAAGTTCTTGACAATATCCCAGAAACGGAACATTCGGAGGCAGTCTTACTTGAACGAAGTGTCTCAGAGGAATGACTCGGTTTTCTTTGCCACCATTGGTGCTTTTGTCATCCTACCACCTGTCGTCATTTTAGGGATAGCAATTGCAACGGGTTACGTGCAGCTTTTTCCGTGATAAAATTTCAACTCTGTACATATTATAGTGAAATACTTTTCTTATCTGATGTAATATTCCAAAGCTGCTTCTTATGAAACAAATCCCCGGATATAAAAAAATTTCATATTCCATTTACAATGTACTGAGATTTGAGTAAGGGACTTTCTGTGTAATCAGAATCTACACATTTGAAGTCCAGGTCAAACCAAATCATGCTACAAGCCTACAACAATCGGAAAGAACAATTAAATACAAATATTCCCTAGTCAGCTACTGATTTGCAGACATTATCAACAAGCTTCGGATGATGCTTCTTTCTGCTGATGCGCTGGTGAGGCTTCAATTTCCCTGTCTGTAGGCAGTACAGGCTTATTTCCTAGTATAATGCCTTGTTTCTGTATATAATGCCATTTTTCTTGGACAATATAGAGGAAGAATATGAGAGAGACCTCGGCTGTGAAAATGATGTTCCAAGTCATTGTGTCCTTTGATGTTCTCCTTTTGTATGCTTGTAAACCCGTGTATATGTTGATGATTCCGAGTAAAGAAACGGCAATGCCAACTAGCCAGTGGAAAAGAAACCAAATACTTCTGCCTTTGCCTCCCCTGAAAATTGAAAAAAATTAATTAAAAAAAAAAAGAATGCAATTGCAAATTGTGCGACAAATTATATGTTTACGATGCATGATATGCTTTTATAGATACATGCTTTACCTTTGTGGCCTGAAGATGCCAAGTAGAGCTTGCAACCACATGATAATATAGAAGGCTAACCCGATTTTTTGATGGTCGTTTTTGAATGAGTTGTCGAAGAATTTTATCGACATTATTGCTCCTGCTGTTGCAAGGAGTACCGATAAAACCTGTGTGATTGAATGCGTCGTAAACTCAGGTCACAGGAGGAAAAATATGATATCTTCAGGCACTGCATCTTAATCATCATCACTTTAAGATGCATGATTTAGGGTTAGAAGTGAGTTTAGTTATTTTATAATTTGATAATTGTGATGTGATTAGCACATAAACAAATGTCATCATCATAGTATCCCAAGATGAGATCCATGGGTAGCTTTTTAACCTAGAATTGAGGATCAAGCTAATTAGGCACAGTGGTTCCTTTCCATCAAAGCAGTCATAATTAGATGTGATTTACTTGTCTATAAAGTTGATGATAGTGGGGTACATTATCTAACTAAACAAAGTTCCAATTTGTAATTAGATGTCATTAAGATAACACAGTACCTAAAAGAAATAAAAGGATGATATAAACACTTTATTAACTGAACAGATAGCTTTGGTTGATAATTATACGGTTAATCGTACGTTATTTCGACCAAACTTTAGCCGTATCACTCCCTAGATCAGTCAAAATTGGCATGTGTTAACTCCCGATAGGCCAAAGTCAGTTCTCGAGGGTTACGCAAAGCAGAAATGTTAATATTAATAGTTCGGTAGGTAAAGTGCAAAAGTAATAACAGTTTGGTGAGGCAAACATGAAATTATCAACAATTAATATAAATGTAATTATTCGAAGAGGAGCTTAGTATCATAACAATGGAGGAAGTGTGAGGTGAGAGCTTACCTGTGTTATAGCATGAAAGTAGAATACGAGTCTTAACCTGCTTCCGGACGCCCCTCTGTTCGGCATTCTCTTTACAAGTATTGCAATTGGCATTAAGAAACCAACCGAAGCCCATAGTAGGAACCCGTGAAGTTTGATCTCGAATAAAAGCTTGGGACTCATCTGCAAAACAAAGGATATGTTGATGTATGTGTGACTATTTTGATTGTGTTTATTGCTTTCTTGTGGATATATTGTTATATAGGAGAAGCAAGATTATGGAAAGGGAATATTTGTGTAGATTTTTCAAAGTGTGGGGTCCTTTTGACAGGCTTTTGGCCTTAATGGAAGGGAATGTAGAATTTTTTTTCTGAGTTTTGGTAGTGGTCTGCAAAGCGCAGATACTTAGGTGCGCCCTGGCACACCTAGCAAGGTGTGCCAGGGCACACGGTAGTAGCAGTGTCTGCAAAGACCTGAAGCTGAGCAGCATTATCTTCTGCTAATTTTACTAGTCCCACTATCTGCAAGGTACAAATAACAATTGCACACTGTACAAGTAGCCAAAACATGTACTGATGAAGCAATACAAAATCAAGATTTGTATGCAAGGTACAAATAACAATTGCACACTGTACAACAGCACAAATAAATTGATTACTTTGGCATCAACCTGAGTGGTGATTGAGAAATTCAAAAGGCATAAAAAAAAATCAAAGATATGGACCCTCCCTCATATTTGCATGATCATATCTTTGCAGTTGAGTCTCAAATTTAATGATGGTATATATGTTGGATCCTACATTGTTGGTCTTGTTAATTTGTGATTGATTGGCTCCATAACTTTCTATTCTCACCCTCTCGATCGTACACATGATTTTTGAATTGTTTAAGTGGAAATTAATTTATTAGGATGAATGGTTAGTTGTGGTGAAATCTGAAAATCAGGGATTGAATTGTGGGAATCAATTGGTTTGATCCATGCCCCGTATTCTTATTGTAAGGTTGCAATTGGTGATACATTATAGGTAAAAATGCATTTTTGGTCGTGACTTTTGAATAGGCGAACGGTTTTAGTTTTACAGTATAGGTATGTGGCACATTGAGTACTGCAATTAAAAATTTTGACGCAATTTTAGTCATTTTACCGTCAACTTTGGGGATTTTTTGGCCGGAAATTGCATGTGCCGACCACGTGACTCATTTTCACTCCATTAATGCCGACGTGGCCGAGGAACCACAGCGACGTGGATAACATCCCGGTTTTCTTCGAAAGACCCAATTTCAAAGTATTTAAAATAGAATGTGGCATGACATATATCGAAGGACCCAAATCTAACATAGCACGTTCTATCTTTAAATTCTTGATTATGCAAGGAATGAAAAACATACCTGGATCACTATGTGGCAAGCTCTTCTGAAACACCAAGCTCTTCTGAAACACGGATGAGACATTCTCACCCATTATCATCTTCTCATCTCCCTTTAACCGTCACTTATGCGTTCACAAGTCCTTCAGAAACTTAGCGTATTTTAGAATTTGTTTTATGACGTCGATTAAGGGAATATTGACCTCGACCTTTTTGAAAACATCCAAGTCCTACTTCTCGGTGTCGTCTTTCTATTGCCTCTTGATTCTCGATAGAAATGGAAAAGGTTCAACCATCATTGGCCCGGTTTCAATGGCCTTTCCCTTCATTTTTTCTCCAGCCGTACTGCTATTAGGGGCGATGATAACAACATAATTTTGCCTTTTCTCGTCATCTTCTTTCTTCTCCGCATCTTCCTTCGGTTGAATAAGACCGTTAGGGGCTGAGAGCACATTCCCACTTCTCAATGTGATGACGCTGATGTTCCTCGAATTAATTTCCGATTGGACAGTAGTTTGGAGTTCACCTTCGACTCCAATCGGTTCACGTGATCCGACAATTTAATCACTTGCATGTCCAAGTTCTTAAGGCTGGATGTCATGCTCCCCATCAGCTCTTTCATCGCCGAAGATGATTCATTCGTTCGGGGATGAGTGTTATGCTCCCCTCTGCCTTGGTACCATGGGTAGCCTTGTCCCCTTTGAAAATTTTGGGGCTGCCTTCGGTCTTGCTCCCCAAATTGATTGTCGCTATTGTTTCCCCACCTCATTAAGTCACAAATAATACAAGATTTCTCACCTATCAATTTTGCACGATTAGGCAGTTTAATAAGGCAGACTAATGAATAAAAAAGAATATTAGCAGAGTAAGGACCACACGTCGATAGGACCATGTGGCTTAACAGAATTTGGTAGTTTGGGCAGATCGGACAAGCTGATTTGGCAGTTCGGGTAGCTCATTCGGGTAGTCTTGGGCAACACGGTAACATCTTCTTATAAAAGGGAGTGAGGTATGCCCTTTAGAACATTACACACTCTCGATACACTTACATACTGTTCATCGTCTTCTACATCTTTCTGACTTAAGCATCGGAGGTTTTTCACCAAAAAATCCATCTGTTGTGAGTTTTTGCAGGCCTTGAAGGTTAACCATCGACGAGGACGATAGATCAGGTCGAACCGAGCCGGTCGAGGGACTTTTCCATACCAAAACTTGTTC